GAGGTTTCCACCAGCCAGTGTCATCTGTCATCCGATTGAGGAGTCCTCACAATTTCAGTGCAGAATAAGTTTATTTCTCCTGTTCCTTGAGGTTTTATACACTCTGGATTATACTCATATTCTCCTTTCTCTGTTCATCTCTCCTGTAGTTCACCTTCTGCTTCACCATCGCTTCCTCCTCTATCAGCTTTCACGTGTCCGTAGCCAGCTACTTATCACTTCCCCTGTCTCTTCTTCTTGCCTAACATGTCTGTACAGGTTACCTTCCCTCCTTCGCTTTCGAAAAGTTCCGATGTTCTTTCATGCATCTTTTCTCCGTGATGTTGCCTAATGACCCCGATGTTTCTCCAATGACTGCAGTGAAGGTGCCCATTACAACTTCTTCCTTCAGGTTTTGAGTGTTGAACTTGAATTGTGACCTGTCTGTGGCTTCTTCGAATGCTTTCGACTTGATCTTGGAGGTTCTCTGCACTAGATAGTGAGTGATATGAACCTACGTCTGCTTCTCTTCTCCATCTTGTGTTCAGTACGCTGCGTCTCCACTCTCTTCAGATTCAGGTGGGGTTAACCTGATTTTAGGTGTGTTTATCTGGTAGAAGCCGTGTTGCCTTTTAGACATCCTTGTGCTTGTACGCGCTGCCGTCAATCACCGAATAATCAAAGGTGTCGGAGTCTGCAAAGCGTCCAGCATTCTCCTTCGTTTCACTGAGTGTCTCTGAAGCCGTGGTCAACTCTTTTCTTCTCTTGTCTGACTCCAGTTTGGCGTTTTTATCACACATTAGAATTTCGATGTTGCCACCTCGCTGGTATCTTATCCGTTACTGCTTGCAGTTGTCTGTAGAAGTCCTCCTTCTTCTCTTGGTCTGCATTGTTTGTCCATATGTAGCACCGTATAATTGTAACCTTTTCATCCCTTTGAGTTGAATCTTTCTGTCATGATCCTGGAGGAGATTGCTTCCCACCGCATAAGAGCTTTCGATGCAGTTGGTGAAATCACGATAGCCACACCCTCAGTGTGCTCGTCTTTGTGGTCTGAGTGACCGGAGTAGATTGTTGAATCTGCGGTTAAAGTGGACTTCCATTCGAACAGCTCTCACAGATTCCTGACACTTCTATATCCTATCTTCTCATCTCTCCTGCAAACTGAGCAACCTTGTAAGCCTGAAACATGGTGCATTCATTCTATGCACCCATGCTTACTTTACCTCTGATCAGAAGAAAACACATTGGCCAACTGGCTTCCAGGAGGTTTCCACCAGCCAGTGTCATCTGTCATCCGATTGAGGAGTCCTCACAATTTCAGTGCAGAATAGTTTATTTCTCGTGTTTCTTCATGTTTTTTTTCTCTCTGATTTTGTTCAATTTGATTATCTCGGTGTTTTCTCATATGTTTTGTCCGCTTTTTTTGCACTTCTTTTGTTCTATTTTCTCATTTTTTTTAACATTTCGACTTTGTGTCACTTGGTATTTTGGTTTTTATATTTTCCTTCCATATGTTGTTCTGCTAATTCACATTATTCTATAACTTGTATCTCGAAAACCATTTCTTGTTCATAATTACATCAATTATAATTTTCGGAATTCTGAAGTTTTTTGTCATATTTCTCCTTCTTACTTCTCACGTATTGTTAGCGTAGTAGAATTTTTGATATATCCAGAACATATGTTGAATGATTCCTTTAGTATATATTCACAGTTGATTCGACAAATAATGTTTTACCCCTTTATTTCTCTTTCGAAACTGTTACATGAGATTTGAAGATTGTCACCTTATGCTATCCTAATCTGAGGTTATGTCTAGCTTCATGAATATCTAAACCGGTATATTTTTCGAGATCTGTCATTTTATTAATATCTAGTAATCTGGATTACGTTAAGGTTTTGTTATCCATCAATCTAACTGAACCCTGTCTACTAATTTGACATATATATCTAATATTAAAATCACTGAGATTAACGCACCTATTTGATTTCGATCGCATCTGTTATTCCGCCATTCTTAAGGATTCTATGCAAGCTTTCAGAAGTTCCCTCTCTGTACGGTAGCACTTACTTGGTGCTGTCAGATTTCTGTGTGTCCTTGCCATTCATGTCGTCTTTATAGCTATGATTATTGTAGTTTCCGATTCATCAGGCTAAATATTAAGTGCGAAAGCCTGCGATGAATGAACTGCAAGAAGCAGAACTATGATAGAGAAGATTTGTAGCTCAGATGGATAATTTTGATTTGTTTGTGTTCTCTGAGCTCGGGTTCTAAGGGAGAAGATGTGGTGCTAGCGAATAGGGGAGTAACAGCAATAAAATGTTTTCTCCGGACGACGAGCAAGACATGTATGCTATCCCATCGGGTGAAAGAGTGGAGGTTAGAAAATGTCAGTAGGAATACCTACTCATCACATCGGTGAGATGTGTTTACGGATTCAATTCCGAACATGCTGTGTCTGGCCGACCACTATCAGGTGTCCCTGTTGTCTGCGGTACACGTTCTTCCTGTCTCAGGTATTACAAGAAGAAACCAACTTCACAGTTTGGCAGCTAAGGTGCAATAACTGGTGTAATAACCACATCCGTGAGCAAAGAGGGTCTTCCTGATCACCAACCACCGTTATTCCCCGTCTTTCCTCCCACTATTAATACTATTCCACAAGTAGGTTATCCACCCTCTCTTAACACTGAGACAACTAATAGCAGCTGGAGCACCCCCGACAGTCTCGTGAAACCAGGCTGTCGACTTATTACGGAAGCATTCAACATCAAGACTTTTTAAAATCTCTGATAACAGGCCTCACTAGTCATGAATGTATATTCCACTTCAAAGTCACGCATACAAGATCCAAGTGTGGTTATTCACTTAACTCCACATGGCTTATATGTTGAATTTACAAAATACAGGTGTCCAGCTGGACTGATCCATTTGGATAAGGAGGGATTTTAATACCAGTAGATGTGCGTTCATAATCTCCACGCCTCTCTCCGCCTCGAACGGCTGCATTTCGGATGAGTCCTACCAATAGCTGTCTAATTCTCTGCTAGAAGTAAGACGCTCATCCATAGTCATTTTAAAAGGTGACTTCAGTGGTGAAGTAGCGAAGTTGTACCAGTCAGAAAAGTATGTCGGTGGTCCCTAAGGCTGCCGATACCGACGAACCGGGAACGTCGATTCTCCTCCACAGTTCCGTTTAGATATCCATTTATTTCGGGTCAGCACTGACTATAAACATAAGGAAAAATGTAGCTTAAACTGGAGACCTCTAAGATTAAATCAATGATGGACTCAAACAAATCATGTAGCGAAAGTTATTGGTGGAAAGGGTCAGTAGAAGTCCGCAGCTCCTTCTAAAACAGGCATGTAGAGTCCGAACACACACTAGCCCCTTCACACATATACCTTTGACTAAACGGAACTAAAATGCAGGCAGCTACAAAGGTGATGGATGTTATTTTATGATTGGTAACTGCGTGTAGCTGTTTAGCTGAACTTGATGCTAGATTTCTTCTCTTATTTCAGTCGACTAGTCTAGATTTCGCTAAGTTTTTGCACTCCGCTAATCTTTTTCCCCCTGGCTTATTTCTTCGATCTATGTGCTCGATCTCAAACTCATTGCGGGTTATTAGATAAACTGTTTTATTTTGTTTAATGGTCTGCGCGGGATTCTTTGTCTGATATGATTCATTTCTGATTTGCAATTTATATCGTCCTTACCATTAATACGTTTACAGTTCCCTATATACTTCACGATCAATTTACCAGGTTAAATATTAAGAGCCAAAGCTTTCGACAAGTGGGACTAAGAAGGATAGCTGTATGAGAATGGTGTTTTGAATTCGTTTGGCCATAACTGATGCGATTTGTGTTTAAAGGTAATGCAGTAAATGACACTGAATGAAAATGTCAAAATGATGGAATATTTCTATAGTAAATGTACTAACCAACAGTTTCTACCTTGGCGTGTTTATTGTTCTTGAAAATTGCAATGACTCGAAGGGTTACACTAGCTGGAATAAATGTTGCTGCAGGTCCTACCGTTCTAAGAATGTTGATTCGATAGCCATCAAACTGGAAGCACTTACCACCATAATGTGAGTCCTCCACACTAGGTGTGAGGTCTTAGCTTGGAGCCGTACTGCCAAGGAATAGAGTAACAGCAATAATTTTTCCTTCGAATAACGAGCAAAATAGGTACTCTACTGTGTTTCTCTATTAACAGAAGCTGAGGAAATTCAGACCTGAAAATGTCCTTGCCTTGAGTCATGTGGAGGTAGGTGAGTCAGTGGGTAGATTGTTCTTATAGGTATTTGAAGGATTAATATTTTTAAGGTCCCCTATCTCAGCATTATCGTTTGCTGTGGTATACTACATAGCAGTGAACTGAAGAGACATTGAATGAACATTTGGATAAGATATTAAACCATTTCTGTTTATTTTTGGGACTTTTATCAATTTGATTATTTATGTAAGGATTACAATGAAGTTCCCTTAGAAAGGCACAATGCAATAACACTACATTTGTCTGGGTTATGATGGACGCTTAGAATGATGGTTACTAATGCTTGTCAGCTGCTGGTGTGATTTCCGACCTGTGACTTCATGGCTAATAAGCAAGTGCCTATATCTCATAGTCTGTCTCGGTCATTGAAAGCTTATTTTTTTTAATCTTGTGAATTTACGATTACAACCTCAAACTCTAGGAGTTTATCGGTGGTTAGAAAGTTTGTTTTGGTGCGAACTGACCATTGTTTTCCTCATTACAATTTTCCTTAGTGTTAAATTCTTACTGACTGTTGCCTGAGGTCCTTGTGTATTTCGAATTATTGCATGCTTCAGCGCAAACTGTTGTACAAGATTCGTCCAATAGTTCCTGATATGCATCAACTTTCCTTAGTCTTCCCTAATAGGCAAGTAATTTCGTCTCTGTAACCATCAATACATGAGTGCAACAAAAACTGTTTTGATATATTTGGTTCCCTTAATAACTTTCGATAAAGAAAGAAAGATCAGATTTGCAGTATAAAATGACACCATTCTATTTCGAAGGTTCTCATCAGCTGCAAACTACCTGAAATTACAATGGTTATAAATAATAACAATAACATACTTTAGTGTTTGAATGGTAGTAGAGAATGCATTATGAAATCAAGGCATTTGAAATATAAGCATTACAATTTTTAATCCAAGTTACCATCAATTTATATGCTTTCAGAATAAAAAAGGAGGGGAGAGGAGAAGGCAGAAAAATCTAATAAACAGTGTTAGCCTGTAGATTTACATAGCAACTCAAGAAGGTTATAGTTCATACAATTGAAAACTCGCTAAATGAGCTGAAATCGCTAATGCGGATGACTAATCAATGTAATCAAAATGCAGTTACCAAGGTAGTGAGAGATTGATTACACTCTTTCTGTATGTATAATTTTGGTTTGAAGCTCTTGATTGCAATTGCCTCAGCAAATCGTAGTAAATTTGCTGTCACTTGTATGCTTAGTGTTTTGTAGGAATTGGAAATTTCGACTAAACGACGCATATCACCATTGCAATTTTAGGCAGTTTGCAGCTGATGAGAATCTGTGAAACGGAATGATATCATTTTAAACCGTAAATCCGGTCTTTTATTGGAAAACTATTCAACACCTAGTATGATGTATTTAATACTTGATCAAGGATGTTTGAAACTGGCTTTCTTTCTCTACACAAGCTGGCTTTACTAATAGTGGATTGACTAATACTGAAAACGAATATTTTGAAATCACAGTAACCAAAATACTTCCCCCAAAAGTGTTACACAATTTATATTCCATCTTGTAAGCAGAAAGGATCAGTGGGTGAGACCATTTCAAAAGGGGCTGCTACATTTGTTGGTCCGATGAACAATTCGTTATCATCTTGAGAAGCATAGTGATGCCTCCTATTAGGTATTATAATTTCCCTAGTACCGATATGTAATTCCACCCGTAAGATATACCTCATTTGATCTCCAAAATCGAAAGGGTCGCTATTTTTATCTTGAGACAGTATGAATCGGAAGGTCACAATGATCAGTATTCTTTAAGTTATCATAGTTTCTTCAGCGTACTACTGGTATCTTTTAGTGGATCTAAAGTCTATCAGTATATTACGATACAACATTTCTACTTATTTTCACTGACTTTTCTCAAATATGAATACTATTTCATTATACCAGTAATATAAAAAAGTAGATCACATAAAAAAGAGTAAAAGTATATTTTAGAAAATATTCGTCATGATTATAATTATCATGTACAAAAATCCACTCGAAATTTGATCAAAGTAGAAAATAGCTATGGGCGTGAAAGTCACAATTCGCTTGGGTCCCGTAACTCTGCTATGGGATGAAATATAAAAATATGAAATTTAGACAAGGTCTATACAAATTACCAGCATAATGCATGACAAGACAAAGGAATAGATAACAAGAATACTACTTATCATCTAATCCCCGACCGATAGCTGCTACCTTGACGTGGTGGTCGGCCTTGCACATCGCGATGACTCAACAAGCTGCACTGGCTGGAACCAATGTTCCTGCAGGTTGTTAGGATAGCGATTAAACTAAAAGCAGTTACCGGCATTGTGTAAGAATCTTCCTTACACTATGCTGGGGGTCTGAGGGAGAAGTCGTACTGCTGGGGAACAGGGGTGTAACAGCAGTGAGGTGTTTCCTTCAGATGACCAGCACATGCCAGCCAGATATGCTGTCTCTCCACTCTGGAAAGAGGGGGTTAGAAAAGGTCGAACCCAAAAATTGTACATCCCGACTTACCCTACGGTGGTCCGTAACCGGCGGTAAGTTTACTAATACGGAACCAATCCCAGAAACCAATTCATACAGGCCGTGGTGTGTGACTGGCCTCTAGTAGTTGTCCCCTGGGCTCTGCGGTCACGCAACACTTTCTGTTTCAGGTACCCGAAAAATCAATCAACTTCCACGGTGTGGGCAGCCGGGAAGTAACAACCGCCCACACACTTCCAAAAGCACACGAAGCCTTCCTGAGCATCACTCTTCCTTACTCACAAAACATATACTAGGCAAACACGGTCTCGATCAGCGCTGCCGTAATGGTGATAGACTTTTAGCTTTTTCTGATTACAATCGATTATATATCACCAACACTCGATTTCAACACCCCAGAAAACATCTTCTCACCTGGTATTCGAACGACGGTCGCACTGCACATCAGATCGACTACATCCTAGTGCGCTCACGCTGGATCTCCTCGGTGGAAGACTGTCGATCCTATCGTGGAGCAGAGGCCGGAAATAAAGGGGGATCAGACCATACTCTAGTTAGGGCGAAATTCAAACTTCGTTTAACGACACGCCAGAAGGCGCGACCTCCGAAGCGTATCAATGTTGCCCCGCTTCAATGTTCTACAAGACGACAAGCCTTGTCCAAACAAATCCAGGCCGAACTAAGCGCCGCAGATGAACCAACATCCACATCTTCTAATACACCCGAGACACGATGGAATCATTTCAAAGAAGTAGTCTCTAAAGCTTCAATGACGCATTTGGGTACCACATCCAAGAAGCAGAAAGACTGGATTTCAGAGCACACCATGCTTCTATCCTCGCAAGCCAGAGACGCTCGCCTAGCAAAGTCTCCAGTTTATCGCTCCCTCAGGCGCAAAGCTACACAGTCTGCTAGGAACGACAGAAATCGCTATTGGTCTAACGTGGCGACTAACATGGAAGCAGCAACAAATGTAGGCGATTTCGGAAAACTTTATCGCCTCTTACGCCAATCATCTGGCAAACGCCTTAACAGTCATGCTGTGTTACGCACAGCATCAGGAGAAATTATTTCGGACACCAATGGTAAGATGGAACGATGGGCCGAACACTTCAAGCAGCTACTCAATCGCGACGCTGGTCAACCGTCTCATCGACCGATACGACACTTACCAACACCCTACGTAGTTGACTGCGATCCACCCACTCCAACCGAAATAGCTAAAACAATTAACAGACTCAGAAACAAAAAAGCTCCGGGCGAAGATGGTCTACCCCCAGAAATATACAAGGCCTGCACTCCAGCGCTAATCGATGCACTGCACTCGCTGTTCTGCTCAATTTGGGAGTCCGAAACCATTCCTTCCGATTGGAGCACCTCAGTTCTGCTACCGTTCCACAAAAAGGGAGACAGGTCAATATGCGAGAACTACCGAGGCATAAGTCTGATTGATATCGCTGCTAAGGTTTTTGTTTCCATTCTCCTGAACCGCTTCGCGGCCGAACGCCACGTGCGAACAAGGCCAAATCAAGCCGGATTTCGACCTGGAAGAGGCTGTGTTGATCAATTATTCACACTGCGAAGAATTTTGGAACACAGGGACAAATTCCAACAGCCGACGGTTGCTTGCTTCATCGACTTCCAAGCGGCATTCGACTCAGTTGATCGAGGAGCACTCTGGTATCTAATGGAGCTCGACGGAGTTCCGACCAAGCTAATCAACCTGCTCAGGTCATACTACTCCAACACCAAAGCTCGAGTCCGAGTGAACGGTGAAGAGTCCCGCACTTTTGAGGTAACCAGCGGTGTCCGGCAAGGTTGTCCAGCATCCCCCATCCTGTTCAATTTCACAGTTGATTGGATTTTGCGGCACGCCCTAACCGAGCACCACGGCGTCCAACTTTCGCCCGATATTCACATAACCGACCTCGAATTCGCCGACGACGTCGTGCTGTTAGCTGAAAACTTCCCCGATATGCAACAGGCGCTCGACCAGATAAACCACCTCGCGTCTACTATCGGTTTGAAAATTAACACTTCCAAAACCAAAATGTTTTCGAACACATCCACCAGCAATGATGAAATCTTATCCTTAAATGGAGCACCTATTGAAATTGTGCCATCCTTCAGATATCTGGGATCCATAATGCTCCCCAACGGCCAAGCGAAAAACGAAGTGAATGCGCGAATCTCCAACGCCCGGAATGCGTTTCTACAGCTGAGGAGCGTTCTATGGAGCAAGAGAGAAATCAGTCTCAGGACTAAAATTCGGATCTACCAAGCTTCCATACGACCCGTTCTGCTGTATGGCTGTGAAACCTGGCCTCTTCGCGCGGAAGATTTACGCAGACTCGAGGTATTAGACCATTGGTGTCTCAGGTACATTCTGCATGTTCGTTGGCAGGACAAACTCTCCAACGAAGAAGTGCGTCGGCGTTGCTACAACATCAACCAAATTCCAGTACTGGTCCAACAACGCCGCCTTCGGTGGTTTGGCCATGTTCTGCGCCGACCAGATGACGATCTGGTCAAATCAGTTCTAAATCCCTCGCCATTACCATCTTGGCGATGTCGCAGAGGCGGACAGCTGAAGACATGGCTTGGTACAGTCAAGGCAGATATGGAGTGCCTGGGGCTACAAACCGTCTACGGACTCCGTATGTGGAACAAGAATTGGATATCCCTATCGCAAAACCTTGCTTCAGATCGCCGCGCCTGGGCAGCGATGATTCGAGACGTTCATGAAGCCGGCTCATCCTCCCGTAGGAGATAGCCGAAGTAAAGTAAAGTAAGTAAGTACTCACATCACCTTCCTCATCTTGCTTCTCTACTACAGTTAGTACTATTCTGCAGGCTAGTGAGTCTTCACTTCACTCTGTGACCACAAACAACGATGAGAGCCATAAAACACCACAGATAGCCTTTTAAAGCCACGTCGCCAACTTCATATACGAGCATTTAACGCCAGGACCCTCTTCCAAATCTGACAACAGGCATCACTAGCAAGAACTCTGGAATCTCGAGCCATGGATGTATGTTGTGTTTCGGAGACACGCATACAAGACCCGAATGTGGTCATTCATTTAACCTCCCCCGGTCAACGAGGTGAATCTGCAAAATTCACTTTAAGGATGTCAGGCAACCCATCAGTTAGCTCGCGAGGACTCGCAGGTCTAGGGATAGCACTCAGTGTTACGGCGGAAAAATCACTTCTTGACTGGATCCCAGTAGATAGCCGTATGTGTGCGGTCCGTCTATCATCTATGCGTAACTTTTACCTATTTTACCTATATTATAAGACACTCAAAAAAAGATGCTAATTATCTTCTGCTAATTCCTTTCAGACATTTATCGCAACAGCTATTGTTGCGATCATTTCATTAGAAAAGCAAATATATTCGCGACCAAGATTCATTTTTTTATTACAGCTTGATTCCACACCATATTTTTGGTAAAAATATGGAATTTTCAGCATGGATATCGGTAGCCCACATTTCGCAGGCCGACCATAGATATCAAATGCGCGTCGGCGTGGGCTCGAACCCTGGACCATTTGCATGATCGGCGAGAGTCCTAACCACTGTGCTACCGACGCAGATGTTTGCTTTAGGAACTAATTTTTATTTAGTTGAATCTCAAAGGAGCTACCAACATGAAGTGAGTGAACACATTAAGTGTTTGCTCCTAACTAAATATAAACTAAGCATTACAAAGTATTCATACAACAAATAGACTAGCTCTGTTCATTCTTTTAAGAAAACTTGGCACTGTTTAGTACTTATTTACCGACAACTTATGGTAAATGCTTTGCAAGCTACACTTTACTTTAGGACTCTGGAAGGAATATGTGAAAAAATATATTAATGAGTATATATATATCTTCATTCACTTATCTATGGAGGATTGTGTCAACTACAGGAGGAACGGACGAAGATGTCAAATCGAGAATCAGGAAGGTGAGAAACACATTCATCAATCTGAAACCAATCTGGAAATCCTTGTCACTCAGCATCAACAACAAAATTCGGTCGGATTTTCAATACAAACGTCAAGTCAGTTCTCCTGTAGGGATCAGAAACTTAGCGGGCGGGTCACAGAGAATATTTCCAACAGCCTGTTGCAGACCTTTATCAACAACTGTCTTCGCTGGGTTTATACTAAAGATCAGATGGCCGGGCCGGAAAGAATCACCAACAAGAAACTATAGGAACAAAGAAACAAAACAAGAACCAATCGCCCAACAAATATGCAGGAGGAGGCCGGTTGGTGACATCGCGCGTCAGACCATTGCTCGAGTGGAACCCGGAAGGGAAGCGGCGAGTGGGACGTGGTCGTCAGTGCAAGGGTGACATGGAGGAGATGGTGTGAAGAGGAGTTGAAACAGTATGGACTAAGATGGATGCAGGTGAAAAGTACAGCAGCAGAAGACAGAAGCACGTGGAGACGTGCAGCTGAAACCCTATGTTCCACTAGGAACCCAAGGGAACAATAATAATAATATCTTACCTGCTGAGGTTTCCACTTGGCTCCCCCTTCCTTCATCCAAACATCCTATGAAATAAAAAAGTATGCATAATTTCTCTAATCCATAATGTATGACAATGAAGAAGGGAAAGCAAGACGATACTCTAGAACGATAACCGCTAAGTAGCGATACGAAGACATGAACTAAAATCATTGGATTTGTCTAGATCTTTGCAGCAACTCAGTTATGTGGTCGAGATTTTTCTTGTGTCATAATATGAGTCACAACTATTGTTTCAGGGCTGGTGATTCAAACTTGGGATCTACTGTCTGAAAGGTGAATGTTAAAAGTGCTGCGCAACATCTCTGCAGCACGTTATGCCAAATGATTAATTTAGAATCCCACACACACAGGATTGTCATGCTTAATAAGTCCATATTTATGCTATTTGAAACAGACGACAATGAAGGTCCCTAACTCTTGATTTGAAGTTTTTATAGACTTAACGTGAATTTCTATAGATAAAGAATTAACTGGTGGATTCTGTCGAAGTTCTTCAACTTTACTATTCTGACAACTTTTCTACTACTTCAACGTCAAACTGGACAGCACCTAATTATGCTCAAAAACGAACAAATCTACTTTAACGAAACTATTTATCAATCCAAGGTCCTACAGTTTATTAATATCAGTATGGCCACTGACTCGCGAATTCATCAGCAACCTTCTCAAACACAGGCGACGTTGAGAAGATAATAACTGTCATACGCCTCAGTCTTTCACAAATCTTTTAGTTTCGGTAGTCACATTTCGTATTCACATGGTTTAAAAGAACGCTGTTGAGCAGTACAACTAGTCCTTAGTGGACAAAAGAAAATCCTTCGTGCACTCAAAAATCAATAAATTTTGTGTCTGTGCCCATATTCCCTGGACTACTGATGCACTATTACTGAATATAAGTGCGCTCCACCACTACATTTCCCATAATCTAATAGGATATCATAACATTCTTTAGAAACTGTTTACACTCGAGAGGTCAGAAACACATGTTAAAAATTCATACTACCTCTCAGAGCCCACATAAGACTGCCTCATAATGCTTATATCCAACAAACTAGAAATCAGTACTTCAAATCTACTAATGAATCTAGCATACGAATATTGGTAAAAAAGGGTATACGAATATTGGGTAAAAAAAGGGTAAACCTGTGTAAGTCGGTTACATAAGATGAAGAGTAAAAATTAATAATGTATATCATTTGGTGTAGATATCTGTTTTGGATTCTGACTCAAACATCGTCGTTGGAGCACGCAGCTTTCAACAATGAAACGAACACCCACTAATTAGATGAGTCATAAGAGCATTTAATTAGTATAGGTACATGAAGCTTTCAGGTCAATAGATCTAACATGTTTAGAGCCAGTAGATATAGATACCTTCTGGGGTTTCATAGTTATCTGGTGAATCCGTACAGTTACGCAATTTTTCCGGAAGTAGAATGTCCAGAAGACTGAAGGTGCAAATAAGTATTACACAAGATTCAATGAATTCCTAATGACGCTAGAGCTGAATGCACCAGAAAATAAAATAGGATGGAATGATATAATTCTACAATTTGTGTTAATAATGTTATATATGTCCAAACCAAGTTCACTTTTAACGGTTTGAAAAAATTTGGGCACTGGGTATATGATATTCATTATAATAGGTTTTTGTATTTCCCAATGAATGGAAAACAAAACGAGATTGTTTTTACTGACGTTTCGCTATTTAATGCTACATGCTGAGATTTTGTAAATTCCGGTTTAATAATACTTTGAGAAAGCTATTAGCATTAAATAGCGAAACGTCAGTAAAAACAATCTCGTTTTGTTTTTCATTCATTGGGAAATACAAAAACCTCTATTATAATGTGTTAATAATGGTAGCTGGAGGTGGAGGGAGCTCACACAATCCAACAACAAATGTAACGCAAGAAACCTACCTTGAGAAGATTTATCAAGAACATTTTCCCGACAAAGATAATCGTAAAGACTTTTATTCTGATTATTGAAAAACCATTCCTCGATAGTTTCTTGATACTCACTAACAAGTGGAATACACTTTTAAATAAATTATTGTTCATTTAGTATACCTCTTTGAATAGGGCTGTAACTTCTGCTGATGGTTTATCCCATAACTCAAAAGGGACATCTAATTTCACTTCAACACCACGGTTTCTATAGGAGTTAATCAAAGAACAATAAAAGAAACCTACACTAATTCATTGAGGGATTTCATTGTCTGAGGCGTACTCTTATCAAATCTAGTGCTATCTTGTCGTTCTTTATGCACTTTATACTGGAGAAGTCGATTGCAAATTGGGGGATCCTCCAGAACTTCAAGAAGTCTAATTTCTCTAGAAATAATTAAGATTAGTTGTAATGAATACAAACGATGTGTCGTATTTAACTTTCTTTGAATTTCCACGATTAGAACCAATGTCCAGTGCATCACTTGATTTTGTTTCTTGGAGCCGGATAAGTATTTCCGTTACGAGAAGCTTGCAAACTGTATTTAAGATGAAATCATATTCTAACCTTCACACTTGGAGGGTAAGATAACGCCTGTATTATCGTCCCCCATAGTCCCCAAAAGTAAAACCATCAGAAAAATAAACCCTAGATTTATGTTCATCTGATATTGGTGTAACTGCAAATGTGAGGTCAGTGAAGATATAATACAGAGACTTGATTGTAGAAGTTCCTTCAACAAGCACGAAAATCTGAAGAGAGGTGAAAAATACCACTTTAGAATATTATAGCAACCGAAAATTAAAAATACATGAGCTTGAATGGTAGATAACGTCTAAGATAAAACATGAAGCAGAGTGAAACTATTAGCTCAGCCAAATATCAAGTGCGAGAATATTTCTACCATACTATACGTTAACCCGTACTTATCTTAATATGATTAATTTACAGAAAAGCAGCCCTTAATCGAATCCTAATAACTAATCTAAACAAGTTACAAACTCGTAAGTTTGTTCGTAAATCGTTAACTTTAGTGCCTACACTGGTCAACGGAATTATTTGGCCTTATCCAAACCTTATCTAGCCCTTAACTTTACTAAATGCTAAAACAAGCAGCAAACTGTGAGCGGAAATTATACGATTGACTACATCGATTCCCATAAGACCATTGTTCGTGATGGCTGCTGTTCTGTAACTTAACCATTAATCCTGAGCCTCTTGAAAAATCTTTGGCAAAGTGACTTGAATTATACAATTCTGTTACACAAAAGATTTCTAAAGATCTTCACAGATCTGCAGTTACAGGTAGAGCCTGTACACGGTTTATCTAACAAATATACAGCCCTCGATGGCTTGAATTAAGCTGAAAAAATTACCACTATGTGCTGAATTGAGTCTTTTCGTTCTGAAGTTATGCTAGTCAGTGCTGCATATGAGCTGAGAGGGCTGGAACAACGCTAAGAAAACGCAGTAGGTTCTGATATACTGCCGGAAATGCCTAGAAAAAGAATAGAGTGGTGAATTAGTGCCAGTCATGCTGAAAACCAGCACTGAGTTCTAGTCTGTGCCATTAAACAATCCATTTCAGAACAGATTCAGAATTTACTCACTATAGGATGCTAAAATTATTTCAGAACTAGTGAGATTTAAGTTAGCATTATAAAATTTTATGATCAGGAGATTCGGTGAGTTGTTTTTTTTAATTAGCCCTCACTTTCAAGTAACTGCGATGAAACAAATGCAGCTAAATTTATGATGCGGCAACTGCACTCACTACTTGCTAACTGTTATCTGATGACACATTGCGCCAGTCAAAGTATGACCTAGCACTAAGGTATCATTCATAAAAAATATGTCCACTTTTAAGAAACCTAGCATTAGATTGGTTGGTGAGAGCGTACCTACCCACCTAAACTTTCTGGATATGGTGACTTTTAATCTGACACTCATATTTTCCAGGACCCAGTCAGACAGACAGACCCAGTCACGGGTCACAGACTCAAAGTAATTATACACGTTCTGAATAAAGTTGCTTTTTATACTGTCTTTTTTCAGCGACGCAACTAACAGTACAACTGTTTTATATTAACTATTAGACACAGGTCAACCAGAAAAGTGTCGATTGAAAAATTTCTTAATGGGACACATATACAGTAGGTATAATTGACTTACCCCAGTCTGATGCATAGACTAAGCGGAATTCGGGAGGAACAGACAAGGGAAAATCAAAGAGGCTTTAGACCAGGTAGAGGGTGCATAGATCATATCTTTACTCTTTGACAGATTCTAGAACATAGACACACTTTTCGGCGTCCAACAATTGTCATATTTCTTGACTTGAAGGCGGCCTTCGACTCCGTGGATCGAAAGGTACTATGGCAATGTCTGACTGTGAAGGGAGTGCCAAGAAAGTACATTGCACAAATCAAGGCACTCTATTCAAACTCACGTAGTCGTGTAAGGGCTTATGGGGAATTGTCATCTGAATTGGTAACAACCAGTGGTGTCCGACAGGGATGTCCACTTTCCCCATTTCTGTTTAACTTCATCATAGATATGCTGATGGAAGTATCCTTAACTGAACGTAATGACTTAGGAATCGACTTGTTACCAGGGAATAATCTTATGGACTTAGAATATGCAGATGATATAGTCCTGTTAGGGGAGGATGCTGACAAAATGCAGAGTCTTCTGAACACCTTGAGCAGCAATCTTCGTATGTTTGGCATGCGATTCGCCCCTACAAAATGTAAGATGCTGCTACAGGACTGGACCACGTCAACCCCTAACTTAGTGATAGGGAGTGAAGTGATAGAACATGTTGACCACTTCACCTATTTGGGAAGTTGTATTAGCACCAACGGACTGATTGGCGATGAAATCTCAGCACGGATCCGAAAAGCTCGAGCTGCTTTCGCCAACTTACACCATTTCTGGCGTAGGCGTGACATCCGGTTATCAACCAAGGGACGTGTGTACTGCTCAGCAGTTCGCTCCGTCCTTCTCTATGGCTCTGAAACATGGCCAATACGCGTTGAAGACATGAAAAGGTTGACTGCTTTCGACCATAGATGTCTGCGATCTCTGTCTCACGTTAGGTGGTTTAATAAGGTAAGTAATGTTGACGTTAGGCGTAGTGTTGGGCAAAGAGGGAAAATTAATCGACGAGGCTATAAAGTTACATAGACTAAGATGGCTAGGTCACGTGCTGCGCTGCCTAACCACCGCCTCCCCCGATGGGCATTATTAGCTGATATAGGTGCAGGTTGGAAAAGGGTAAGTGGTGGCCAAACAAAAACATGGCATCAATCCATGAAATCCTTGACAGTTAAACTGAGTCAGGTAGGGAGATGCAGACTCCCGGGTTGGGGCCCTCGGGACTCTAGGAATCAATGGCTGGAGACAATAGGTGACATGGCTCAAAATCGTTGTCGATGGCCGGAGCATATGTATTCAGTCTCTGTAATCTTTCATATTCCTTTCTACCATTACCAATTCTGTTTCACTCTTATACCTGTCAAACTCTATTGATTCTCTTCACTCATCTTGTCTACCTCTGTGTGGTATTTGGAACGTGGCAACTCGAACTGGTGCACTTCGGTGCCAAGTCCTATGTTGAATCCAGACAGACAGACAGTAGGTATTTCTCGCGTTTGTCTAAAAGTGACAAAGGCTTTCAAGTAGACTATGTGCAACTGCATCACACATGAATACTGTTTCTGAATGTCGTTCTGGAGTCGCGAGTTTTTCCTCAGCAGTGTGGACGAGGCAACTATCACGGGGAACATAAGAACATGTGTCAAACCATAACAAGCTGGATACAAAGCAGAAAACCACAAAGGCCTTGGTTAGTATCTTCACAATTTTTATCCGCCGTATTTTCAGCCTTTGTAAGTTTGGAGTCTGAAGAGATGAAGTTGACACATGCAAGGCATCCGATATCAATATATGTGTAAAACTTGGGCACTGTGGTATTAAGTAATTCCATATTAGTTTGATTATTAAATGTATCACACAGTGAAACATAAGCTTTGTTTATCGAATCAACTGCAAATACATGTAATAGGAATGATTCAACACCTGTCCCGGATATATGGAAAATTCTACTGCCCATACAACAAATAGGAGAAGACAGAGAAAACTATAAGAATCAAATCTCGAAGTCGTGTGACGAAAATTGATATGATTATGAACAATAAATTGTGTTTGAAACGTCATCCAGTATACAATACTGTTTCACTGTGTGATACATTTAATAATCAAACTAATATGGAATCCGATATCAATCCTCAGTGAACTATTGTCAGCTCTCTTAATACAATGTCTTCTTAATCCCAAAAATATCCCTTTCGAAATTTACGATCACGAGATGCCCAGGTTTATTTTGTTTAATATGTGAAACTGGTGTGTGGATAACACCGTGTGTTTACCATGCCTTAATTCCGGATATGTTAATTATACTTAATATGTACTATGTATACTATATGTAATACTTATGGAGGACTTTGGACACCAATTTACGGACTTCAGAAGCAGTGTAGCTACTTTTGTTGCACTACATAGAGCTTAACAAATTCAGATAAATAAGTAGCGCACCGGCAGGTGAGATTTTCACTGCTGGATTGTTACATTTTTGCTGGAACTGGAAAATGTGACATCCTGGAAAACGTAGACACTACATATGATATGGTTTTCTAAGGAGATCAAGAAGAGTGGACGTATTAACACGGATAACTAAACAAATACGGAAGGGTAGCCGACAATACAAGGGTTAGCGAAACTGACCTTGGAACTCTAGAATTTGTCTTCCGCGCTTAAAATTTTGCCTTTCAACCTTGAAAACAAAGTATTCGCAAAAATTTTTATATATTTCACTTATCTGCCGTGGAAGGTAGATAAAATGAATCCTGTAAAGAGGATTTGTAGCTCAGATGGATAGTATTGAATTTGTTGCGTACTATGAGCTGGTTGATTTATTTGTGAAGCTTTCGTCGTCCCTCACAGTGGTATTTGCTCCCTGATGCTCGCTCCCTCATGGGTTGCTGCGAGGAACCACGGAACCACTTATTAGCTAAATACTTTGCTTCGGCGACTCTGGTAATCTCTAATATTGTTAGGTGACAACAGCTAAGTATGAAAAGACTAAGTTTCCTCAACCTTTCATCATATGGTTTATTCCAAAGACCCACAGCCCTTTTCCATGGTTCGCTTTTGGACCGTTTTAATAAACAGGGGAGTAGGATATTTCACACTTCAGGATTCTCTTGTATACATGTTTTATACAAAGTTAGGAAGGGCTTAGAAGTAAGCATGACCACATACACCCTTGGCACATCATCGAGGTAATCTCCATGTGGACCGGTGAAGAACTTCTGCACGCCGTTTGAGAAGAGACAGTCGAATTTCGTTACAACCTGGGAAACTGATTGATTGGAAATTTCTCAGCTTTCTAGGAACCACTTCAGGGTTTACGGGAATTGTGCTCATCAGGTTTTCGCTGGACAATTTAGCAGTGTGACTACTGTGTTTTCTGGTCACAACGTCCAAAGTACTGTTAAGTGGATCGTCTAAGATCAGACTGAATATTTTAGCCATCTCAAAACTGATGAGATATTGACCACTTGGAGCACTTGAGATGCTTAGCCCTTGGTTAGTAGGCTTTCTTTCCAACATGAATCGGTTCGGCACTCGGATTTCTTTCAGAAGTTTTCTGGGAACAGCTAACTGAAAGTTCATCCAACCATCCCGGATTCTTGTATTGTGTGCACTACGATTTCCAAAGATGCTACGTGGTGACTCCAACTCCCGCAGAGTCACAGTTTTTATCAGTCTTTCCTCTTGGCCTGTTGCGTAAAGTGTGATTATAGGAAAGTATTTGAGATCGCTGTGAATGATCACCTTTAATATTTCATAGTGTTCCTTGACTGACAGTTCAGCCCAATCTGTAGTCCATTCTGTGTCAGGAGGAAGTTTCCACTATTTGCTGTTGGTGGCTTCAAAGAAGCACAGATAGTGTTCCGTTTCACCCCATTGTAACCACAACCAAAGAACCAGGCCGCATGGTCGCTGCTATAAAAGAGATCTTGATCTGAAGGTTTTCTCCTAGTGGTTGATCAGTCAGAATATCATCCAGTTTCTGTGACTGTCCACTAGGTTCATGCTTAGTGCTATCCCCAGCATTCCCAGTCAGCCTGCCACTTCTGATAGTATGTGGCAGATTTCGATCAAATTTTCCTTTGAACTTCTCGACTACAGGCAAAGAAACAGAACAGTGAATCCTCCAGATATGGTCATCTTAACTCGTGCCCCATGTTTCTAATCTCCGCAGTAGTTCTGTGCAGTGGCACAGTATTGAGTCTGGGGGCTCATCGAAACTGCTCATTGACACAAACGGCAACGCAGTCACCTTCCTTATGATCTCTTTAGTTTCACCAAGACTGTATTGTTTATACTGACTTCCTTGTCAGTAGTGGTGTGGTTTTGCAAGGTTTCTGTGAAGCATTATTGTCCTGAGATCAAGGCAGAATTACAGGTTCCTTAATCAAACTATTTTTCCTCTTAGTCTTTTCACGCTGCTATTGACAGCTGGTGGTAAGTCTTAACATACCGCCTTTCTTTGGGGTGACTGGCGCAGAGTATAGTGCTGAGTAGTCATTTAATGTTCAAATTAGTTAGCGGATTCCCATAGAACTCATCTGTAATCAGTTACTCCCCCGGGTCTAATTAAGACAATGGGTGACTTTGGCCGTCATCCTTCTCAGTATTGCACTGTTGGGCAACTGAGGCATGGAGACGTATCATTAGGATTAAAGGTAGGCTTACAACGCGGAATAAATCAACCTACCTAACACCATTATATTATGATGACGCTATTTGCCACCCATATCTGCTGTTGCTATGGTAATGTTCATCACTAAGGCTGACCACTTGATATATTCCATTGAACCGTCTGTGGATTCCATGTAGAATAATGGCTGATGCATTCGCGCCAACTTAGATATCTACCATACCACACGGAGACCACAACCAAGTGGGGACCACAGGGAAAAACTTGGTTAGGTTGCTTCTTGTCGGCGGACGGGTGCTTGCTCACCTTACGTCGTGTCCCCGTTTGAAGCAAATTAGGTAGGAAGATGCCAGATGCCGCAGGTAATTTTCTCACAAATTCGGACTTTCACAGATATTTTGTGATATTAAACCGCATGGATTTAGTTATATTCGCCTCATAATTGGTGTGATATTATATTCTTTTGTTCCTTTTCTTTGTTTGAAGCATACTCTTAGAGATACGCGGTTATGGGAAAAAAGGATGAATTTGACTTGTACTTACCGAAGTTCCTTTTGGATATGAAAAGGATCGACTCACTCAGCTGTGCACTGAGAATTCTATGTTTTCAGTGTTTCTATTCCTTAGGTCCTTATTAATAAAGAAATGAGGTTCGACGTTTTGAATTTAATTTTCAAGTAAAAGTTTTGTGGGGGTTTTGTTTGATTGGTTGGAGAATTTCATCATGAGCAGACACCAGTTAGAGAACTACTGAAAACCCGGGAGTACTGAACAGCTGTTTCGTGAATCACATTTGCCAGGTTTGTGGGGAAAATTATTAGTGTATCTCAATGAGGATCAAGCGAATTTATGTATTGAGACATTCTTCAAGAGTTAGGAGGTCCAGCCTATTCCGTTTGCCAGTCTTAATAGTTTTGTATCAGTTTCCGCCCTATCGACTTCCGTTTATAGAAGTATTGTACCACTATGCAGAGAGGACCTTCGTCTGGTTGTATCGGTTTTGGCCCACGTCATTGAGTAACAGAGTTTTGTAGGAACCAGGCCGTGACTTTTAAGGGTCCTTCAGATGGTTGATTGAAGAGTGGTTGTGTTTTATCACACCCCACCCATTCATGGGATCAGGAATCCAGTTACTCTGGTACATATGCTGCTCTTGATTTTCCTCGTGAACAAACAGGTCTTCCTTCAAATGGGTAACTTAAGGTGATGAGGATATGCTCTGGTTCTTCGTAGTTCTCTTGATTTTCTTTAAGTGCTTTGAAGTTGTACGGTGGTTTGTTTCATAGTATTCAAGTGCCTTTCGGACAGTGTACCAGCAGCACAGTTCTTCGTCCCTTTTAAGTGTCTTGCGTCAGCGGCAAACTGTGATACAAATTCACGATAACGAATCCCATGTGGTATTTATCCGTTTTCTCATTGACTGCGTTAGTGAGATGCTTGGGATCTGTGTAGGCAATGAATTGTCCAGGCTCTGCCATATGTCAACCGTGTTTAACTGCCAGGCAAATTGCCTACAACCCTCTGCCAAAATTAGAATACCCAGTTTCTATAGAATTGGGACGTTTAGAGAAGAATGTTATTGGTTCCCAGCTATTTTCTGCCGGCTGGTTTAGAGCTGTTCGCACAGCCTTAACTGATGCATCTACTGTTAATTCAAGGGGAGCATCTGGATTGAGATATTTCAGGCTTGTGGCCTTTGCCGACAATTGTTTCGGCTATGTAATCGCGTTGGCTGCCTCCTCTGACAACCAAAACCCTTTCAGTTATCCCTTAATGCACCTGTCGGGGGCTGCATATACTGTGCACATTCACGAATAAAGATTCGACAGAAGTTTATCAACCCCAGAAAGCTCCAGAGTTGCATACATGAAATGGGCAGCAGACACTGCTTCATGGTACCCAGTTCTTCTGACATTGGTGCGATTATGGTATTGTCAGTGGCATGCCCTGGGAGCTGTGTTGTTTCTGCGCCAAAATGCACGGTTGACCGTCATATCAGTGTCTTCTGGCTTGCATGATACCCCAAAACTGATCCCCGTATGTGTTTATTTCCGGGGTGAATATGAGCATGTCAAATATGCATAATTCGGAGAACGGCAGTTCACGAAGCATTTCATCTTTGCAAAGTCTGTGCAGCGCTCAGGAGATAAAATGGCATCTGTGAAACTTATATAGGCGCAAACTAGGTTAATTCTGATAAATATTTTGGCACCTCGAAGACTACTAGTTAAGTCTTGAATGTGTGGTACTGGGACGGTTCACTTGTCTAGGGTTCTGCAATCACCACAAGGGTGCCAATCATTTCGATTTTTCTTAGGTGACGTGTGTAACAGAGGAGCTAACTGACTTTTAGTGGGCCAAGTAGTCCCCAGCTGAAGCGTGAAGTCAAATGCAGATTTCTGTATCCTTATTTTGTCAATGGACAATCTTCTTCGCTTAGCGAATACTGCGTTGCCATGTATCCTCGTGGTATGAGTAATTTTTGGGCGAGCGTTAGAGGTTTTAGGTTTGCCTGCCGTAGGCATTGGGAGTTTCGCCAGTATTTTCCGTAAGCTTTTGGTCAATGCTGGTGGAGATCGCGCTCACTTATTTTGACACTCGTATACCAGAGGATTTCTCTCGTTGTTAAGAATCTCTTTCGAGTATCCGCTGATAGGTCATATCTCTCCAGGAAGTGTACTCTGATAACTGCGAGGTTTAAATTGGCAACAGTGAACAACCATGGCAACTGCTGCTTAAACCCGAGGTCAGGGGTTAGGATTTTTTTACCAGAACGTCGCGATCTGAATATCAATGGCAGCCTGTTGCGTGAAGGAGGATGTCAATGTAGTTGAAGATTGAACGATCAATTCATGGTTGTTTACTCAAACCCAACTTCCCCATAATTTTTGCGCGTGATCAATCTGCCAGTCATCGTCTTATTGGTCGCTGTTCAGAAAGAACACAAAAAACTGTCAGAAGTACTACCGTGATTTATTGTTGTAATATTTGTTCTTAGACCTTAGTCCGTGATACCAATAATGCTGGTTATATGTCG